CTAAGAAAGTCAAGATAACATGTCTGTCTACAGAGTCATTAATCTGAGCAACACTGAGTTGTGGGTTTGGCTAAAACATGTGGAATGTAGATAGGGAGATAAGGTGATATGTGCGCAGGTTAGTAGGTTGGTAGATGACAGATAGATATAGTGATAGAGAGAGGGAGAGATTAATACAAAACCATTTGCCAATATGTTCAATCTGATTCTCATTGCAATCCCATATGTCAGAATTGAATGAGGCTTCATATTGTTTCCAACGCCTGGCTGTTTTGAACTAGAGCACTAGGCCTTTCCTCCAAAGTGCTGGTGGATGGAGCTTCCAACCTTTTGGTTAGCAACTGAGCATGTTAATTCTTTACACCATCTGAGGGGCAGTGCTGCTTTGTCACAGGGTGTGGCAATGAGTCCAAATTGACTGGATGACACCCAACATCAAGATGAAATTATGATGATTCTGGAAGCATGAAGCACGCATGGGCTGATAGAAGATGCTACCTACCCATAGCTCAAAAGAAAAAGCAAGTAAGCAAAAACCTCCCAATAAATGCAAAACGATCCTCATTGCCCCCATGCTTGGGAAATGGCAAACCTAGTAGGAACATTGAGTGTTTGTGTAGGAAAAAAAATCTGGATCACACAGGTCCACAAGTATATAGGTCCTTGGCTTTTCCATCTACATTGTTTATAAAATTTGAACACGCTCTTTGTGGACAGGGGATGAGCCAAACGGCTCTATGTTGTTGTTCTACACAACAAAGTGATAGCAACAGGTTGACATTCATTTCTCAACATATGTCTCTTTGTTCCTTCTCTAATTTGTACCATGGCATTCCAGATTGGACACATCACCCTTGAAGACCTGACAATTCCGAAGATAGTGGGATATTACTTAGTAGCTCCTATCATATGCCTATTCAGCCAAACGATTAAATGAGTGACTGTCTTGCCTAAGTGTTCTCAACAAACTGACCCTCTGTGCAGACATGGAATCAAAGATTCGGCAATTGTTTTCCTTTTCTGAAAACTGTCAAACAACAAGTTGCATCAGCTTCCCCCCACTTTTAATGTAATATTGATGACTCAGGTCAGAATGTTTTTGTAGCAACAATGCAAACATTTTTGGAAGAAAAATAAGTATTTGATGGAAATGCTTCTTTAGGTTAAATGTCTCCCTTTTCCAAGATGTTAGAGACATGGAAGAGAACACAGGAGGGAACAGAACCTAAAAGCGATTTGAAGCCTAGTCTCTCTTAGCCTAGTATTTTGACACAGTATCCACAGCATCTCAATTCCACTGGGGGGAAGTGACACAAAAAAACAAGAACCAAGTGTCCACAGCTTTTCCGCTAGATTCCGGTGACACCAGCAGTTAGGGTATTGATTTCCATCTGATTTTGGTCCCGTCTCAATTCTCTTTTTCAAAGACCCGTAGACGTTATGAAATATTATCTTTACTTTTCCAATTGCTTTCAAATGTTTTGAGGCTTAAAATAAGACTGCTTCTAATATCCAGTACTGGCAAGTCAGTTACTTGGAAAAACCCTTTTCTGAAAAGAACTGAAGAGACCAAATAAATCTCTAAAACAATTCACCTTTTAAAAAATATGAAAAGCTGTGAATGCAGGCAGAGAATCTCTTTCCAGCAGCAGAAAGGAGAAGAGGTACTCAGAGAGGTAAGGACACCTGGAAGCTACTTTTGTACTGAAGGCTTTTGTGACCTTAGCCTGCATGAGTTTCATTTTGAAAGTCTCTTTAGGGAGGAGGGAAATGAAATACCATGCCTGCTTAAAGTGGGAGTCTAATAGCAAGCTTCCTCTAAAATAAGCTGGACTCCAGCCTGACTCTAACACAGTGGATCTCAACCTTCCTCATGCCACGACCCTTTAATTGTTCCTCATGTTGTGGTGAACCCCAACCATAAAATTATTTTTGTTGCTACTTCATCACTGTCATTTTGCTACTGTTATGAATCATAATGTAAATATCTGATAGGCAGGAAGTGTTAGGTGACCCCTGTGAAAGGGCAGTTTGACCCCCAAAGGGGTTATGACCCACAGGTTGAGAACCGCTGCTATCAGACATGTAAATCAGAAGTGGAAGATCCTCACATGCCCTGGAAACCTGAGATCATCTCACAAGGGACATGAATGTAGGGATCTTCAACGTGAATTGAGCAGCCCCAGACTGGTAAGTATATTCTCTTTGGAGGGAAGGTACTTTTATCTCAGGCTTATTCCATCTAATGACTTGCACACAGACACAGATCATCAGACTCACCAGGAGAGAGATGCCAAGAGTGAGACGAAGCAGAGTCCAAAGAAACATACCGATGAAGGTTTCAGGCGTTAAAAACATCCATTACAAATAATCAATCGGCTGTACTTAGCATCCTAATAAGTAATTCAGAAAGCAAATTTCAGGATGCTTATTGAAGTAACAAACTAGACAAACCAACATGCTGCTGGTGTCTGATGCTGTGCAGTTGGTTCCGATTCATAGCATCCCTGTGTGGGACAGAACAAAACCATGCCTACCTCTGCACCGTCCTCAAATTGTCCTTGGGTGTGCGTCCTGGGCCACAGCCCTGGGCCAGTCCATCTGGCCAACGGGCGTCCTCCTTTTCTGCTGCTTCTTTGCTTTACCAAGCAGGGAGTTCTTGTCCAGGGACTGGTCTCTCCTGACAACATGTCCAAAATACGTGAAGTTTGAAATTTTTCCTCCCGGAACGTCTAGACATGAAAAATCATAAAAAGGAGAACCCAGTAGCCTTAACACTGATGCTGTTAGTGACAGTCAAGTCAGCCCTCACGGTGACTGCGAGATGTGGTAGGACTAGATGGTGCCGATCCTGCACCTCTCACTGCTCGTCGGTTCGTTTTAGTCCATTGTCTCGACTATGGTGTCAGTTCATCTCAGTGAGGGTTTCTTCAGAGATGACATTGTTATTTCCTGAGTAACTGTCCAAGGTAAGCCAGCTCAAAGCTGATCATCCATCCTTGTTTCTGAGAAACATTGTAGCTGTAAATTTCCTACCAGTGGTTTGCTTCTGTTCTTGGCAGTCCACAGTATCTTCAATATTCTTTACCAACACCACAGTCCAAACACAGCACTTCGTCGGTCTCCTTTTTCATCATTCAACTTTTGCACATATAATTCATGCCACTGATCAATTATGACTCATAGCAATCCTATAAGACAGAGAAGAACTGCCTCTGTGGATTTTCAAGGCTGTACATCTTTCCTGAAGCAGAAAACCTCATCTTTCTCCTGTGGAGCGGCCGGTGGGTTTGAATTGCTGATCTCGCAGTTAGCAGCATAGGAAACCATTTTAAAAGCTTGGCTTGAATAAAATGCACCTTAGATTTCAAAGCAACACCTTTGCTTTATAAAACTCTAAAGTGATTTTTTGGAGCAGATTTTCCTTATACATCATTTGAATTCCTGACTGCTGTCTCCGTAAATGTTGATTGTTGACACCAAACTCCAAACTCGCTGCCATCAAGTTGACCCTGACTCACAGGGACCCTAGAGGCCATGGCAGCACTGCCCCTGTGGGTTTCTGAGACTGTGACCCTTTATGGAGTAGAGAGCCTCATCTTTCTCCCATGGAGTGGGTGGTGACTTTGAACTGTTGACCTTGCAACAGAATTCTCAGTGGTTTGTTTTTGTTCTTGGCAGTCCACAGTAAATTCAATATTCTTTGCCAACACCACAGTCCAAACACAGCACTTCTGTTTCTTTTCCATCATTCAACTTTTGCACTATAACTCATTGCCGTTGATCAATTCTGACTTCCGCCAATTCTACAGGACAGAGAATAACTAAATATTTAACAACTTCGATATTCCCTCCATATAGCATGATTGGTATATATTGGTCCATCGGTCCATTTCTTTTATGCACATTCACATATAAAAAGAAAGACTTAATAAATTGAGAAATAAGTTAGATGAAATGATACAGAATGTAGACTAAACAGACAAAATGATGGGGGGGGGGGGCAGGGGAACCCAGGAAAGAAAATCCATAACCAAGGAGTAGAATGAGAAAAGTTAACCGGCTTCATCAGAATTCCAGAAGTTTCAGAGAATGAGGCCAACACAGACTTTGAAGAGACAATGTCTCGGTATGTTCCAGAATTTATTTGGAAAAACCCAGACATTTTATATTTAATGTCAATAATCTCTTCATGAAAATTGAATGTTCCTTTTGGGAACAATGCCTGGGAAATCTATTTGCCATTATTTTAAGCAAACTTACAATCTGTTACATGTTAAATCCAAAACTTTGACCAATTTCCCAAACATAAAAACAACTCATTAAAGAACCTATCTAACAGCATGTAACAGTTATTAAGACAGGAAATACATGCTTAAAATATTATATTCTGATCAATTAGCAATTGCTCTGGTTTTCAAAATGTTACTTTGAATTCAGTGACGCATTGCAGATAGCTCCTTGTGGACCCTGAGGATGTTTTTCAAAATATGGATGTGATTCTGATTTTCTGCCAACAGTTTCTGGGATGTCACACAGTCTTTATCTGAATGTTTGGTTTTATTTTACATTAAAAACAACATTATTTTATCTTCAAGCACACAATAAACACCAAACCTCTCCAATGCCAGGAGTAGCCTCTTAGCAATTTTTCTCATACAGCACACATAAATAATTTCTAGGTGATCAGGAATCAAGACATAGATTCTTTAATGGTAAGAGAGCTTTGTAGCCAAGATCCTAAAAACCAAGGCAGAGCCTATTTTACTATCAAAGTATAGACATTGTACCCCATCCTGTGTCCCTAGAGCATTTTACTGTGGGGTGAGCCTTGCTCTAATTCTTCCCACACACAATTCACTTCAAGTGGATGAGGTACTAACTATACAACATGCAGTTTGAAATGCGGCAGTTTGCCCCAGAGTTCAGTTCAGTTTTGCCCCAGAGTCCCTGACTGCATCGCTCCCTCGGAACCCAGACCTGAGTGTGCCCTGCAAGTCATGGTGACCAAGTCCATAAGCGTGCTGAAGGGTGATGGCTCCATGCAGGGTACCATCCACTTGGACCAGAAGGGAAACGAGCACGTGGGGAGTCTCTGCCAAAGCAACAGGTTGATGGACGGACTCCGTGGATTCCATATTCACCAGGTTGGAGAGATGCCCAAGGTTGTATCAGTGCTGCATCATATTAACCCTCCATCCAAAAACCATGGTGGACCACAGGATGCAGAACTGCATGCTGGAGTCCTGAGAAAAGCAACCTCTGGCCCAGATGGTGTGGCTGAAGTGCCAGCTGAAGACTCTGACCTCACTGCCGGGAGCCCATCCCACAGTGGCTTCATGGTGGGGACCCCTGAAAAAGAGGACTTGGACCGAGGTTGAAATGAAGAAAATACATCGACGATGACGGGAAGTGCTGGAAGCCAATTGACTCTTTGGTGTGATGGGGATCTCCCAAGAAACATTCCCTTGGACGTAGTCTGAGCTGCAATAACGCCCATCTGTAGAAATTCAACCTGACAAACATTAAACACTGTACTTTCCAAAAGCTAAAAAAGAGAGAGCAAGATCCAGGAATTAGTTATTATTATTATTGTTTGAATAACAGCACACAGAAAACCAGGCAGAGAAGTCCCTAGGGAAAGGATGGGCATGTTTCAATGGAGTCTCTCCTGTGGTCCTTCATCTTCCACACACTTAGATAGTTTCCTCTTTATGCTAGTTGGGCCTTTATTTGGATCACAAATGAAATCCAAGTGTGAATAAATAAATGTGTTTTATCTTTCAATACACCCTCCCCTTCCTTTAAAGAGGGGCACGGGGGTGGGGAGGTGCTCAATGTCTTCTCACAGCCTATTGGGCCATCGTTGTCCCCCCTATTGTTTGAAAAGCACACTGTAACTTGGTCTTCCCCAATCCTTCTTGACCTATAGCTCATCCTGCTGAATGCGGGGGCAGCAGTCCTATGGTATTGTCCATAGTCTACAAAAGGTGAGGGTCATTACTGGCTTGAAGCTAACTGGGAGGGATCTTCAGCAACCCGAGGACCCCTGGAAACCGCAAGGAGGCAAATGTGGACAAAAAGACAGCAGCTTCTTCAATTAAAGCTAGGAGAATGTCTCCCACTCAGTGACTCAGCCACAACCACTGCTCCATTTCTTGCTGCCAAAATGGCTCCATCAATTGTGATGGAGTCCCAGGGATCTTCCTCCCTCCTGGCTTGAACCATGCTGCAGTCAGTCATGGGAAACAGACCACCCCAAATGGCAAAGCTGCCTCCCAACTGTGGTGCCCTGGTCGTCTATGGTTGAATCCCACCGGAGAATCTGAAAACCTTTGATTGCTTGGAAGAAAGCACCACCTACAGTGCCCCTGCAAAGGGTCCACTGCAGTCCTCCACAATTCACCATGGGCAAGCTGTCTCGAATACTCCTCCAGCTTGACTTTGGGTTTGCTTGTTTGTTTAATGTTCTATTGAGTCCTTGGAAACTGTATGTCTTTCTCCACTGTATAAGTATTAGTTAAAAAATGTATTGAGAGAGATGCGTATTCTATGAAGTTTGGATATTAATAACCAAGAAGCAGTCTACTGGAAAAACATGTCAGAAGGGTCTGTGTTAGCCTGGGTAAACGAGAAAAACAAACCCAGGGAAACTCATATGTGTATAAGAAAGAGCTTTATATACGAGAGCAGTTGAATATTGAGAAAATATCCCAGCCCAGTCCAGATCAAGTCCATAAGTTCGATGTTAGCCCATATGTCCGATACCAATCTGTAAATTCCTCTTCAGACTCACACAACACATGCAATGACGCCGAATGCAGGAAGATCATGGGCCAGTGGGTGGGACGTCTTGTGGATTCAGTGGCAGTGGAAGCATCTCGGTGCTGGTGTGGGTCTCCACGTGGCTCTTTCAGCTCCAGGGCTCTCGGGTAGCTCCATGTGTCTTCTCAACAGGAATGTCTTGCAGGGAGTGTGTCTGTGTCCTGCCTCCAGTGAGCTAGTTATCTCCATAGGGCCTCCAAATGAGGTCATCAAGCTGCAATCCGATTGACAGGTTAAACTCCACCCCATTCACTCTTCAGTCTCAAATTGACAACAGATTATGGAAGTACCACAAGGTCTTAGAGTATATTTGGAAGATCTAATTTGGGTAGGTGGAGACACAGTTATATCCTTACTTTATTCTTCTGTTTCTTTTAACAAATTGTCCAGATGTTTGAGCACATGAAACTGTTTGCCTCTGATCACCTTGGTGTATTGGGAACTTACAATGAAAGCAAATGGAATTTTTTTTTTGTAAAAGTGAAAGACATGAGATCATTTTAAAATGAATCACTCGCCCATAAGATACCACCGAGCACATCTGATGGTTTGTATTTACTAGCGATCACTTCAATAACAGAGCGTAGCTACCACTCATAAACTCTGAGACAGACGCCAATTGTTTGCTTATGTGCCTTTGGGAGTTGTGACAATTTCAAACAAGTCATTAAGCTAACTGCAAGATTGGTAGTTCAATGTTGAGGCACTGTGGAAGAAAGACCTGGTAATCTACTTCCAAACAACCAGCCATTAAATCCAGCAAGCACAGTCCTTCTCTGATCCACATGGGGTTTCCATAAGTGGAACTGATTCAATGGAAACTGGTCTATAATATCTGCAGAATAATATGACAATTCAGCCACCCCGACGTACGTTTCCTATCAAGCTGATGTGTTTAAGCTTGAGAGACTCTCCTTGCTTGGGTCAGACATGTCTGTAAAAATGTCAAACAACCTTTCAGGAAAGAGTGACAACTAATGATTTCCTTTGCACTTAGACTTCGCTAGATTTCTTCCACCGATGGCCCACGCACATCCTTCCCCTCAGCTCGTTGCTTTCGCACTGCTGGCCTAAGACACCGACTTCATTTGCAAAACTGTGATGTATGCTTTTCAGACATGCAGACTGCCTCATGCTGACATTTGTTGCCGTCGTTAACTCCATCCAAACTTTTAGTAATTCACATCTGTGAGCTATTCCATTACATCTTTATAAAACATCGCAGAGGTCATCGTGGTTAACACAATAGAGCGCCAAAATCATTTGGCAAATTGGTCCACTTTGTTAAGCTTGTCTTGGGTAGAAGAGGAAGTGCCCCAAACTCTGTAGAAGTTCTTCCTTCTATGGCAGCTTTTAGGAGAACAAAGGAGGTTTTCAGACCCAGCAATCAAGTGAAACAGATCAAGAATTTTCTTCCTTAATGAAAAAGTGCATCCGTGCAATTATTCTAGTCCATACGAACTGCAGTGTTTATGTAGTCAAGAGACTGCAGCGTTGGTTTGTGAAGGACAGTCACGGAGAGGTTACTTTTCAGTTTGAACTTAGTGGGTTTCGATCCTGTCGCCCTCCCTCCTCTCCCTCTCCTTCCATCATTTGTTTCTTCTTTCCTTCTTTTTTTCGATGTTACTGATTGTGTGGTCATTTCAGCTGCAACATGTTCACTTGAAAGTAATCATTCAAAGCATTTTTAAATCTGTCCATTGTCTGTTAGGGTACATCCACTCACATGCAGGGAATGTGTCCTTGGACATGCACATGTGTACAGCAAGCTTTTCCTGATGTGTTTCCAAGTAGCTGGAAAAGGTACCGTTAAGGTTATAGTGTATAGAATGAAACTCTTACAAACATACATACTGTATGTTTATTTACAATTTAGTTGCTGCTCCGGATTCAGATTTTTAAAAAAAATCAAGCTGACTGCCATTGAGTCAATGCTGACCCGTAGCGACCCTACGGGCAGGGTAGAACTACCCTGTAGGTAGTCTTTTCACAGAGACTGTAATTCTTTAAAGCAGGGGTCCTCAAACTACGGTCTGCAGGCCACATGCAGCCAGCCGAGGACATATATCCAGCCCGCTGGATGTTTTTGCTCATTTGGTTTTTTATTTCAAAATAAGATATGTGCAGTGTGCATAGGAATTTGTTCATAGTGTTTTTTAAACTATAGTCCGGCCTCCAACGGGTCTGAGGGGCAGTGAACTGGCCCCCTGTTTAAAAAGTTTGAGGACCCCTGCTTTAAAGTGCTGGTGGTGCAGTTAGCATCCCAAACTTGTAACAACTCTGCCGCCAAGGCTCCTTGGATTCAGATAGCAATAACAAAAATCATAAAGATTTGTTTTGTTAAGATTTACTAACAACGGAGTTTCACAGTTACATTAGTTTCCTCTACTGGCAGTTGTAGAAGAAACGACTGCTAATTTAAGAGGCAACACGTGATTTCTCACAGTCTCTGGGGGTTAGGGACCTGGCAGTTTTAGCGGGATCTCATACATGCTGAAATTG